CCGAATTATATATATGAAGTATATATATATAAATGCATGTATTATTCAACTGTACAGGGATGTAAATTAGAAATTCCTTTTCTGCATATAGACAAAGGCAGTGCTTGAGATTGCCCACTAGATCAATTGCATTACGCTGAAAATCTTCCAATCATTCAACAAACTGAAGAACATTAATCTGAAAAAAATCAGTAGAAATGATCCCGAAAAATTCTTTCAACAGCTTTGTATATTTGGACATCCATCTCCACATTCAAAAAGGAGGACGCTAAAATAAACATGCTGCGTATAATTACATTTATGATGGCGCTTTTCTATGCGATGTTGGCCAAAAAGTGACATGATTCCACCATTTCCTCGCGTTGTTTCACGACATTTCCCGCATAGTTTCTAATATCCATCCCATATATTTGGAGACGTCTGTATAAATTGCAGGAGTACCGCCGATGCACTTTAGCTCATCGTTTCGGCTCACAATTCCAATCACTTCTTCATCCACTGTCAGAGGACCACCAGAATCTCCCTGTGGAAAGAAATACTGTTACAGTTGGGCATCCATCATTCAAGCTCAGGAGACGCAAAAAATAAGTCAACTTATAGGGGTTGAGTCCTTTTGAGTTGAGGAAACTATTGAAATTTTGGAAGAGGGAAATTTAAATTAATTGTGCTCGTATGTCCTTACATTTATACCACTAAAGACACCGTAGTCTTATGACATCATCCATTTACTCAACTTCCCTACGACTTAAACTTTAAAAGTTTTAATCAGTGAGTATAAAGGGAAATAAAATCATCAATGAGTTAAATAATATATGAAACTATTACCAATAACTGAGGACATATTGCCTAAAGCAATGGACTGAGGACAAATGTGTCAAAGCAATTTTAGGGTAGGTTCTCACAGTTACAGAGGTCTAGGTTACACTGTTTGTCAGGAAATTCAGACAGGGACTGAATTACAAAATTGGCCTACTGCAGTAATTTTTTTTTTCATGTTGTATATAGGGGTTTTTCAGTCACCAAGATCCAATTATGAATAAGCCAAATAATATGTACATAGCAAATAAAAGTTTAAATGAATAGAAGAAAAAAGTGTATGCATGCTTTCCATGATTGATAGAGAAATGCAGGACTTTAAACAAATCAGTTTGAACATTTCTGTACCTTTCATGCAGCAGAAATTGTTTTTAAATCCTAAAACACTTTTTTCTTGGTACAGCATTTTCCTGGAATAAATGATTACTTATATAATAATGAAAGAAAAATCCAGGAACCAGGCTGAAAAAATCCACCAGGAAATAAATCTATGAATATTTTGTGAACAAGAAATTGTTATCCAGGAAATGCCTGGGTTTGTTTCAAAGATCCATTTTGTAAATTACACCTTGCTTCAAGGAAGTTCAAGGAAGTGCACAATATTTTCTCCCTGCAGCTGTTTCCTGTTTTTAATTTCCTCATCCCACATCACCCCTTGTTAACAGTGTGACGTGCTTTTTGTTCTCTTTAACCCTTCTGCGGCTAAGTCTGACTTTTTTTTGCAGATTTTGGTGACACTCCAGAGTGGAATTAAAAAAACCCTAACAGTGTGGGCAGGGCAAAGTCAGGAAAATTCCTGGCATTTTTTAAATTTTCCACAGAAAAATTTCACCTGAAAATGAAAAAATGAAAACTTCAAGGCTCTCTTTTTTCCCATGGCCTTGTCTTGTTTCCCCATTCAAAGATTGAATTTAAGCTTGAAATCCAGGAGCCCAGGTTGGAGGTCAATACAGAAAAAATCGGACTCAGGACTTTCCCAGCATTTCATTATCCCTGGAAAAAATCTAACTTTGCCCTCCCCCACCTGGCAGGGGTTGCATAACCTTGTGCAAAAATATAATGGACACCCATCAGGAAAAAGTCCGAATTTGCCCTGGGATGGAAAGGAGGCTGCCACCGTCCAAGGGTTAAAGAATATAAAAACTCCCCCTCACTGCTGACAGTGACAAATGCCCCTCTCATTCGGTGTGGAGACTTTAAACGTAAAGTCTCCATTTATAGAATATTCTGACAAAACGTATATATAACACAACACATAACAAGTAAAACTATAAGTGAAGTACTCCAGGTACGTGAGTACTAATTGTACCAAAATACCTCAATAGCCTATATACCCAAGAAGGTATATATATTACCAAGGAATCATATATTCCTCAGATTTAATTCTGAGTTGTCTGCAGTTATTTCTCAGAGAACCTTGTGTAAATTTAACAAGATTCTCTTGAAAACTTATCTATTTTATTTGTTGACTGACTAACATTTGATAGTGAACAAAAGTATATTTTATAGAAGATTGTTTTTTTAGTCCAGGCAACAAAATGTTGAGCAACAATTGATTTGGAATATTGCTTAGAGATTTTCAAGCAGAAATCTCAAGGGAACTATTGACAGTCAATAAACCCCATGCATATCTTCAAATTGAAGGAATGAATTTAAATCCTTCTGACAGCAGTTTTGGAGGCATTGTCAGAATATCACAAGAGACATACCACTTTTCACCCATGAAATTTTCATATAAACAGACCCATTATTTCCATGGAAATATTTTGAATTTAATTAAGTATAATCAAGAATACTTTGGATCACTCACCAAGCAAGCAGCAGGAGAGTTGATTTCCACATCGTCGCCTGCACATATGTCCTTTTCACAAAAAAACTCAGATTCTGTATTGAAGAGTTGCTGACATTTTTCCGACGAAAGCACTGGAATACTCGCATATTGTAGATCTTCCGATGGTGTATTTGAAGAAGTATCATTCATACCCCATCCAGATACAACCGCTATCTCTCCTGTACATTGATCAAAACAATCGTCAGCAATGGTATAGTATTTATATTGTAGATAAAAATAAAATAAAAAATAAAATAAATGCAGCTGAGGAATAAACTTTGAAAATGATGGCATTTTACTGGAAATTTTCAAAGATGCATGCTATCTCCCCTACATTTCTTAATAAAGAATAATTGGGTTGTCATCAGGTGCCCAAGAAGCTGTGTCAGTCAGGTGCCCAACAGGCCTGGGCCATCAGGTGCACAAACTGGGCCATCAGGAGTCCAAAACCTGTTCAAGCATGATGTTGGTATTGACTTTGACGAAGCAATGTGTTGTTCTAAGGCTTTTCACTTTTTTGAGAATGAATGAGTATTCATTACTTAAAGTCCTCCTTCTTTTTTGTTTTGAAAGTGCTTAAAGCTCAGCTTTGATTCAGTTCAAGAATGGCTGTGCTTTTGATTTTTTTTCCACAATTTTTCTACTGATTCAAAGGAAAACACAAATTAAAATAAACATGTAAATGCTGACGAAAATTGAATTTGTGCACAACAGACTTAGTCTGTTGTGCACAACTGTTGTGCAAATCAAGTCCGTTGTGCAGGGGTTGACTGTACTTCATTATGATGTTTCTTGAGCTTTTTGAAGATAGTAGAAGGAATAAGGTCTTCTTTATACAGAACTACAATGAACCCCCGTCTAACGGACTTGATTCATGCAAGGGACAAGTCTGTTAGACGAAAAGTCCTTTACATGAATTCAATTACATGAAAATTGAAAGTTTCAATTTTCAACACTAAATTTAAACCAAAAGAAGTCTGTTTGGTGGATTTTGTCTGTTGGGCGGGAGGAAAAACTGCTTTCACAGCTGATCTGTTTGGCAAAAATCCCTTACATGGGAGGTCTGTTAGGCAGGGGGCCACTGTATATATTTTCTTATGCTTTAAATACAGCTCAAATAACTGCAGTTGAGTATATAAGTCTCCATTTTCAGATATATTATTCAGATTTCTTAAATTGTCATTGCTGGGTATATCAACGTGACTAATATGAGAAAGTTTTACAGCATGTATACTGACCTCACCAGAGCCTGTACCGAAACTGAGCCTCACTAAAAAATCAAGGAAGTCCTCATTTTTTCTCAACTTACCTGTTTTTAGTCAATATTAAATATTGCTTGATTTTTCAATTACTCGAATAATCATCATCCTGCTTGTAAACACTTCGCATTTCTGCTCGGGAAATCGTGTTAAATACTGTGAAGAAGGATGAATTACTCACAATTTTTTCCTGAACAGGAACGATAACCTGATATGACCGACTACAGCCTGAATCAACAGAGTTTTTGAAGATTTTGAATGTTTCTGGCTAAGAAATTTCGCTCTGTGAAATAATTTTGTGATATGATCATATGAGTCATGCTTTCTCGCTGAACATTTTCATCATGCAGATTTTTTGCTTTGTGAGTCTTGCATTATTCAGAGACTCATCACTGCAAATAAACTACTTGAAAAGCTCTGTAATTTAGTTCGAAATTATCAAATTATCTTCTTTTAATTTCAGCAGAGAAAAATTAGTGCTGCTTCAGCTGACGTTATACGAAAAAAAGGTAAAATAGTTACCATCGTAATTAGGGACAGAATATGAAGCGAAACGTGCGATTGAGGTATTCCGATTCCCTCCTATTGGAATCGATTCCTCCAGTTTAACCACACAAATGTCATGACTGTTGGAAGAACCATTATAGGAATCATGATCATTTTTGAAAATCATTCAAATCAGGTTTCTATGAATACCAAGAACTAATCCCTTCTTCTCCTACGTATAAAGGATGAGACCTGGCTTCTGCAACGCGAATATAAACTGCATCAGGGTCTTCAAGACGTGTACTGCCAGCTTGAATCTGCAAGAAAATACTTTTTTTACATGAATTTCTAATGAAATGCCATTGCAAAATGTCGTTTACCGTCCCAGCCCTCGTCTGAAGATCTTCGCAACACTGAGCTGCAGTGAGGACGAAGTTATTTCCGATGATGATACCTCCGCAGTGAAATTGTAGGTAACCGAAGAATATTTTAATGAAGATTGCCACTTGGTATGTAAACATTCCTGCGCAAAGAATTGAATATATAATGAATTTAACATACATCTGAAGGGTAAAAAAAAAGCACATAAACTCGCCTGGAAGAGCAGTTTCTCCAAAGATTACACGATTTGGCGAATTTTCTTCAGGATTTGAACCTGAAGCGAAGAAATCGTTCTATTTGAAAATAATAACTGGGATATAATGTCAATATCTCGAAAGAAGAAAGGTCCACTGGATGATTTGCGAAACAATTTTTTTTTTCGAATAAACTAGATCAATTTTAGCACAGCGATTTTTATTCTTCCTGACGTGCGCAAATGTATTGTAAAACTGGACATATGAAATTCCAAGACGTAATTAGCAAATTTAAAAGACAACAGTCAATTTAGCAGAAGGACTTTTCTCTGACGTACGATCAATAAGCTTCTTTCGCCTGAACATCGCTGGGAAATGCAAAATTTATCCAACAATATTTTCATTCATCCATTGAAATTCCTCTAAGGATCTTCTTCAATTTGTTACAGAAATTGTTGAAGAAGAAAATTGACTGAATTATTCAAAAAAGACGGATTTTTTCCTCAGTTTTAAAANATCGCTGGGAAATGCAAAATTTATCCAACAATATTTTCATTCATCCATTGAAATTCCTCTAAGGATCTTCTTCAATTTGTTACAGAAATTGTTGAAGAAGAAAATTGACTGAATTATTCAAAAAAGACGGATTTTTTCCTCAGTTTTAAAAGTTACAAGGAATAACTACATAAAATAAAATATTTCTAGACGTACATTAATGGTACAGCTGGTGGTACCTCGCAATTTGACCGTAATCCATTGCAGAACTAGGGCCAAATTACAATGTGGTTGAATAGCAAGACACTCAGTGAAATTCGAAAGCATAAAAACAAAAAGGCAAAAAAGTGGCCAAAGCAGGTCAAATTGCAAGGCAAGGGTTGAATTGCAAGTCAGCCTCATCTCTGCAAATTTGGCTGTAAAATTGTGGGATGGTAAAATTGTGTGCGGTCAAATTGCAAGGTATCACCTTTACAGTATATAGAATAGAATATCAGTGTTCCCCAACCTTTTTGAGACCATGGACCATCCAGCAGTTGCCTTACAATTTTTTGCAGACTGGCAAATTTCCCGTAAATGATCCGCAGACTGGCAACTTTTTGTAGAAAGATTTATAATTACCCACTTTTAAAAAGTCTCTGCTATTTCACAAAAATTAAGATCCAAAGAAGCTGGATCATAGTGGAATTTTTTCAAAATTAAAAAGGTTGGCTTCAAGAAAGATTTCTCAGACTGAAAAAATTAAAATAATTTATTTCAGCATTTGAAAATGCATTTTAATTATAATTAAGAGAAAAGCCAACTTGCGTTTTCTTTAGATAATTTCGACTACCATTTGTTTTTCTGAGGTTTTAAATGAACATAACAGACTTCATTGCTACTTTTCTCAATTTATTATTCTGCATAAAATTTCCCGCGGACTTGCAAAAAACTTCTGAGGACCAGCGCAGGTCCACAGACCACCGGTTGGGGAACACTGGACTATAGATTATAAAGTGTTTTTCACTGAAGTCTACTAAAAATGTCCTCTATATAAGCCCAAAATTATGTGGGATTTATCTAATTATCTCAGAAAGACTGATTAATTTATATTGAGCATGCTAGAGAAAATTACTCAACACTCATTCCGGATACTGATACTTTAAGTAGATTTGATTGACGGTGACAACTGATAAATGATGTACGAACAGAACTGTACATAATTTCAGGTTTATGTGGTATTTTCTGCAATATCCTCATTCATGAACTCATCATAATTCAAATCATGAAATTTCTTACCTGAAGCTTCTCCAGCAAGAACAAAAGCTGCGCATGAAATAATTGCCCACAACCCTTTCCAGTTTATCGAAGCCATGTCTAGAATAGGATCGAAACTTCCACTGTGCTATGGTTCAATTCTTTATGTTGGGTTGAATAATTCCTCAACAATCAGGGCTCCATTTGCACAGAGTTCTACATGTTGAAAGTTTTTGGTTTTAAAGCTGTTTAGCCCTTATTGTCAGGTTGGGTAATTTGTATCACCCTCTACAATGAGAGTCACTCACAGTTCATCACAGAGGAAGCCATATTTTACATCTTTATGGCATATACAGTTTTAGTTATCTTACTTATTGACATGTTGATTTAGTTTTTGACAGTCAAAAACATTGGCATTTTTGCAGAAAATCACCAGAGATGAATGTTTAATCCCCAATAGGGTAAAAATGCAGGATATTAAAATTATGCAGGAAATGGATACTATGCTGGAAAAAAAGGAATGTCATTTTTCATCCTAGTGATATAACAAAAAGTTTCTGTTGATCAAGCCAACAAGAGCTGCTATTACAGCATTTCCAAACCAGAAACTTATTTATAAACCTCAATAAACCAATTTATATTTTTGTAGCCATTTGTGCTTTGAAATATCAGCCATAATTTCTGTAATGAGCTGCAGGATGTGCCAGAATTCATCTCCAATTACATTTGTTGATGAATAGTTTAGTCAAGTTACTTGCATGGATCATGCTGTGCAGTTCATTAAAATAATTTTGCTCAAAATAGAAACAGTTCTAAGATACTAAAAGTGAAAATCATGTAAGCATGTTTCATCAAAAAGCAGACTATATTTGGGACATCAATCCACCCAAAAGTACTTGAGAAAATCCCTGAATTCAACAACAATTAAAACAGCATTAACCCTTTGGAATGTTTGACGTAGACTGAAAATTGATTCCATCACTTTCTGGTGCTGTTTGACATTTCCTGCATGGTTTCATGTACCCATTCCATGTAATGTGAGATTTCGGTGTAAATTCCAAAATCTCTATCCATCCATTGCTTCAGTCTGCGGCTCACAATTCCTATCACTTTGTCCTTATGTGTCAGAGGACCTCCAGAATCTCCCTGTCAAAGAAATGCTATTATACAGTGGGACATATCAGTGTCAAACCCAGAATGAAAAAGTGATATCTCATTTCAACATACATAAACAATTTCTTTGGCATTTGGAACATATTTTCAAATACTCAAGTCATAATACTTATATAGATCATTCCTGCCTGCATAATTCCTGGGTTGCTGAAGGTCAGGGGCCAGTTCTGAACAAATTTTGTCTTGATCCTATTGGGGTTTGACCAAGGGCAACTTGCTGAAAATGAAACTGCTACTGAATCAGCAATTAATGGGCTGGGTCCTCTTTAATGGGTACCCAAAGAGCAGAGGAGTTCAAATACAAATTTACAATACAGTAGTAATAAAAAAAGGCTAAATATAGGTATAAAGAAAAAGTGTTTGAAGAAAGCAAACTCAGAAAAATTCAATTAAAATCAAACAGAAAACTTTCTTTTGTAGCACAAAGCTGATTTTCAAATAAGCATGCAGTTAGACTTGTATATAGTTGACCTAGTTTACCCCTGCACAAAATTGACCTCCTGCAAAATGGATTTTTGAACAACAGACTGCCTCAGGAGTCAGGAGACAGTTTTTCCTCCTGTGCAATGGACTAAATCCACACAACAGACTTCTGTTGGTTTAAAATAATTGGTTAAAAGTAAAAATTTTAATTTTTTAATAATTGAATTTTCATGACAGACTTTTTACACAACAGACTAGCTTGTTGCACAAATCAAGTCTGTTGCGTGGATTTTGTCTGTATATTGTATGTCTAAAATGAAAAGACCAGAAACCAGAGGACTGGAGACAATTCAAAAGTTAAGAAATGTAAGGTAAAGTATATGGTTACATGCTGGTAACTGAGAACTGAGGGCCAATTGATTTTTGTGACTGTTCTAGAATTTTCAATTAACCCCACTAACTGAGGGATAAATTACACTATTCATTCAAAATAACAAATAAATACATCTCAAACAGTTACTGCGTGCATCATAACAACATCAAAAGATGCATACAATTGATTATACAAAAAATATGCATCAGATCATATATGTAAAGTACATAAAAATATTTTTTTCTTTTGAAGTCAACTAAAAATTTTATCTTTATATTATGAAGGACTATTCTAAGTATCCGTTAGACGAGGAATGAGTGATGCCAATGTATATCGAAGAAATATGCATCGCAAATTACGAATATTGTACTGTATATGCACTGTCAATTTAGATTCATGATTCAGATGTTACAAGATATGGCATCATGCTTTCAGCTGAAAAAATAAATGACGTTTTCAATATCTTCATTCAAAATTATAAATTTAATTTATATTATTCAATAAAAATCCCACACCTGAGGCATCGTCGGCACAGACAAAAACTGCACATGAAATAATCATCCACGAAACTTTCCGAATAATTGAAGCCATGAGTGTATATAATATGCAATTAATTCTCTCGTCGTAATACAATTAACTGATAAGCGGAAAAAATCAGGATTTGAATAGGAAAAAATCGTGGTTACTTTTCATCGATCGAAATTTCAGCACGTGGAAATTTCCTTTTCGAATTCAGTTCATGAATTCTTTTCGTCGGGAGTGATGAACAAAATCGCACTTGACCACGATAAAATAATCGCGCTTTTACACTGGTATAATTTTTTAAACCATTTTTTTTATTCTGCATCCAGAATTTTGTCTTACCCACTCGAAAAATGCCAAATGATTAATTCCTGACGTAAGGTAAATGACACAGAATATCGAAATAAACAAGTGGTTTTATTCTCTCATCCGAGTGCTAACATCAGACATCGCCAGCGATTCGCACTAATAAGCCAAAAGTTTGCCCACCGATCCTCGGTCGAAACAAAAAAAAAAAAGGAGGAAAAAACGACGCACTTCAAAAAACTGTTCGCACACTGAAATAACACACAGGAAAAAAAAACATTTCTGCTATGATGCATCCAACTCTGGTCTTCTCACACTTCTGCTCTCATTTCCTAAATCCCCCAATCATAATTAACATACGAAGGACACCCATATAATCATCAAGTTTTCTCGCCAACTATTCATTCAAAATAACAAATAAATACATCTCAAACAGTTACTGCGTGCATCATAACAACATCAAAAGATGCATACAATTGATTATACAAAAAATATGCATCAGATCATATATGTAAAGTACATAAATTTATGCTGATGATCTTCAATTAAATTTATAAATTTTCTCTAAGACTGATTGCTTATGTAAAGTACATAGGCAATCAGTCTTAGAGAAAATTTATAAATTTGATTGAAGATCATCAGCATAAATTTATTTCCTCACCTTGCGAGCAGCAGGAGACTTATCACCCTCATCTCCAGCACATATGTCCTTATCACAAAAATATCCTGGGTGAAAGAAATTGAACCATCTGAGGCATTGTTGGTCTGATTGCAGTGGAAGAATAGCAAATTGCAGATGTTCTGCTTCTTTTCCAGATATATTACTGAAACCCCATCCAGATACAACTGCCATCCCTGTTGATCACAATAATCTTCAGTAATGGTATTTATTTTTTATCAGGATGAACTTTTGTTCATCCTCCCCTGGCTCCAAAGCTGGGATTGGCTTAGGTTTATTATTTTGCCCTCAACAAGGTGAGTTGGTAAAATATGCAAGCCTGACTTGATGGGCAACATTTTTGCAAGAAACTGACTACTACATTGTGTGCAGGTGGTACCTTGCAACTTTACCTTCTGCAATTCAATGATCCTGCAAGTTTCAGTTCTGCCCTGGAATTTTGGCTTTATTATGTGTAGCTGTTAAACCCAGCCCTTCTGTAACAAATTATTTGTGGGCTAAGCACTATTTTAAATTACTATACTGGTCTCTCTTCATTTTCCCATTTTACATTTCTGGGTGAATATGCAATTAGAAATACTGTATATACTCTTATTTCAGCTTGCTGTTCTGCATTTGAGTATCAGTTCTCCTGTAAACCTGTGAAGTAATGATTTGAACATTTGGGAAATCATAAGTTCTGCATGTCAGAATATACAGTACAGTACAGTATATTAATCTTCAGTGGCAATAAGGGTTGGTTTCCACAATGGAACAAAGCTAGGATTTTCTGAAGGCATGTTACCCAACTCAAGGATATAGGAAGTAGGTTGAGAAATCTACGTTAGGTGAGAACAGGATACTGTAAAAATGATCCAATGCTTTCACATTTCCAAAGTTTAGTGGTTTCTCATAAAATTTAGAAATATCAGCCCAAAAAATAAAAAAAGTGGCCAAAGCAGGTCAAATTCTGAGGCAGAGGTCAAATTGCAACTCAACCTCCCTGCAAATTTGACTATCAAATTGCGGGATTGTCAAATTGCAAGGTACCTGTTGCGTACGAAAGTGACGCAGCTCCATCATCCGGTTGAAACCAGACTCAAAAACTTGTTGGATTTCCGAGGCCAGTGAGCCTCGCAAAAATCCCATTTTTGCCAGACCCACTGAGCCTCACTCAAGGACAAGAAGTGATTATCACTTCTTTGATTTCATTGAAATTGGCGAATCCTGAGCCAGGAAGAAATCACCTGATTTCTTCCTGACCCAGTCCAATAAGCACCTGGCTATATAAAAACCTTCATTTCTCTTTGAGAGGAGAAGTCAGAACCTAGTGTTAAAGGGCCTTTTAACTTTAAATTTCCTCATTCAATATTCTGAGCTAAGCAATCAATCTTACAATTGACTCTGCCATTAAAACAATTGAATCAACAGCCAATTGATGAACTGGGCAATGAGAATGAACTCCTCTGAAAAGAGTTTGAGTTCAAGAGTTTGAGTTCTTATTCAAAACTTGCATTCTGATGGCTGTACAATTCAATTCCTTTGTCTGGGATCCAATGGACCCATGACAGTACTACCTTTAATGTCTAAATAAGGAGCTTTACTTCTCACGCTTGAAATTATATCCTTTAGATCTTGGAGCATCTTTGACAAATCAGGGAATGTACAGGTTATCCGCATTATTTCTTCATGCTAATTTCCGAAATAATATAAACGTAATTTAGAGCTGCATTTCTACTGATCATCTTGAAATCGCGCAAAGCAAAAACAGCAACTGTTTAGTTTGCAAAAGTGAGCTGTCACCTTCACAATTTGTGTCTGAAGTTGCAGGTAAGTTGGCGATTGTGATATTCTCATTTTCCATGGGAAGCGATTTTTCCAATTTAGCCACGCAGATGTCATTACTATACGGGAATAAGAAGCCAAAGAAAATTTTTACAAATTATAGAATTTCAAATTTGTACACAGCACCAGAAACCTCCCCCTTTTCCTTTGTACAACGGGTGTCGTCTGGTTTCTTCAATGTGAACATAAACTGCATCAGGGTCTCTGAGACGTTGACTGCCAGCCTGAATCTGCAAGAAAAATACATTCTCACATCAAATGTATCTTGTGATGTTTATAAAATTTCATTTACCGTCGAATTCATGCCAAACATGCAACAATGAGCTGCAGTGAGAACGAAATTTTCATGGATGATGACGCCTCCGCAGTCAAATTTTCGGTTGCCATCCAACATATCTAAAAATATTGCCACTTGGTACGGGAACATTCCTATGTCAAAAAATATTGAATACATTTTGAAAGCTGACGTATTTGATGCGTGATAAAATACATATACTGGCCGGGAGGAGCTGTTTCTCCGTGGATTACACGATTTGGCNTTCCTTTGTACAACGGGTGTCGTCTGGTTTCTTCAATGTGAACATAAACTGCATCAGGGTCTCTGAGACGTTGACTGCCAGCCTGAATCTGCAAGAAAAATACATTCTCACATCAAATGTATCTTGTGATGTTTATAAAATTTCATTTACCGTCGAATTCATGCCAAACATGCAACAATGAGCTGCAGTGAGAACGAAATTTTCATGGATGATGACGCCTCCGCAGTCAAATTTTCGGTTGCCATCCAACATATCTAAAAATATTGCCACTTGGTACGGGAACATTCCTGTGTCAAAAAATATTGAATACATTTTGAAAGCTGACGTATTTGATGCGTGATAAAATACATATACTGGCCGGGAGGAGCTGTTTCTCCGTGGATTACACGATTTGGCGTATTTTCGTCAGGGTTCGAGCCTGAAATGGAGGAAATTGTGAAACCAATTATTGAAACTTTTTCCTGTAAGCAGCGATTGAAGGTCAATTTTTCGACACAAAGCAGACCCACAAAACTATTCAAACTATTTTATATAATTGAGGAGATGCATTTCAACTTCAAATTTTACAAGTCAAAGATTTGCCCCCGCGGAAAAAGTGGAAGTTACTAATTTGACAGTGGATCGTTTCTCTGACCTGATGCTTTCTCAAGTTGAGTATTTTCCAAGTAGCATATTCTTAGAATGAATGCTCAGAGATTCATATTAACGAGGATGAAATTTTATTTTTAAAATTATAATTCTATAATTTTCCGAGTGACGATCAAAAAATTTAATTCAAAAAATTATACGTTATGAATTTCTCGAGCGACGGCGGGGAATATTTCAATACAAGAGGTAATTTTTTTTCTGGTAAATCAACAATATTATCAAGGTAGACCACATTACCAACCAGTGTTTAATCATTAACAGTAAATGTGCGAGTTATTTAAGGATTCTGCATGAGGGAATCATTTAATTTCACGTTATTGACAAAGTATGACATTTGTTTACTCGTACAGTACATTTTCATATCCGCTGAAAATCAAAACATTATTCTACAGAGGATATTTCGCAATTTGTTGAGGATTTATTCGAGGGGATGAAATTACCTGTGTCAGCATTTTATTCTAGAAACAAAGGAACTTTCTTCAATCTCCGAAACGACGATAATAAAAATAAGAAGTACAGAAAAGGAAATATTTATGGTCGCAAATTAGTAGTGAATAGACTAGTTAATTTTATAAAAAAAGAAAACTTCAGTTGATTTTTAAAATAGAAATATAATACTTCCTGATAAGATTCATAGGCAATCTGCTCCTTACTCACTACGGTTACATATAGCTTCTTTATACGTAGCGTTTAATTGAATATTGTACTGTATATGCACTGTCAATTTAGATTCATGATTCAGATGTTACAAGATATGGCATCATGCTTTCAGCTGCAAAAATAAATGACGTTTTCAATATCCTCATTCAAAATTTAATTTATATTAATCAATAAAAATCCCACACCTGAGGCATCGTCGGCACAGACAAAAACTGCACATGAAATAATCATCCACAAAACTTTCCGAATAATTGAAGCCATGAGTGTATATAATATGCAATTAAATCTCTCGTCGTAATACAATTAACTGATAAGTGGAAAAAATCAGGATTTGAATAGGAGAAAATCGTGCTGTTACTTTTCATCGATCGAAATTTCAGCACGTGGAAATTTCCTTTTCGAATTCAGTTCATGAATTCTTTTCATCGGGAGTGATGAACAAAATCGCACTTGATCACGATAAAATAATCGCGCTCTAACACATGTTTGATTTTTTAAACAAATTTTTTTATATTCTGCATCCAGAATTTTGTCCTACCCACTCGAAAAATACCAAATGATTAACTCCTGACGTAAGGTAAATAATACAGAATATCGAAATAAACAAGTGGTTTTATTCTCTCATCCGAGTGCTAACATCAGACATCGCCACCGATTCGCACTAATAAGCCAAAAATTTGCCCACCGATCCTCGGTCGAAACAAAAAAAAAAGGAGGAAAAAACGACGCACTTCAAAAACTGTTCGCACACTGAAATAACACACAGGAAACAAAAAAAAAACATTTCTGCTATGATGCATCCAACTCTGGTCTTCTCACACTTCTGCTCTCATTTCCTAAATCCCCCAATCATAATTAACATACGAAGGACACCCATATAATCATCAAGTTTTCTCGCC